TTGGTTCATCTTCCAAAACAGTTATTCATTCGATCAGAAATATTGGGAAGGTGATTTGGCAAATTTTTTGTGCAGTGGTTCAAATTTAAAGTTATGAAGTTTAAGATATTTGTTATTATTATATATATTAATTTTACTTAATTATTATTATCCTTTTTATTTTACAACTAGTGTTTCATGTATAAAATTTTATTCTTATTGTGTTTTGGAAAAAAAAAATACGGGCAATTAGGCGGCGCCTGCACCACCAAGGTTGCCGCCTAGATATCACAGCGTTCGGGTGTCACCTTGTGCCTGGGCAGGCGTCTGGGTGCCGTCAAGTGCCTAGGCTGGTGCCTAACTCGACTTTTAATATAGTGCTTATTAGGCACAAGTCTTTCATTATGTGCACAAGTATAATGCATACAAAATATTATGAATTATATGTATGGATTTAATATTTAAAATTATGTATAACTTAGGTAATGAGATAATACATTTTATAAATATGAATGTAAGTAAAAATAACAATAAGAATATAACCCATTTTACTTGAATATGAGTCACAATATTCATTGTATAAATTCAACGAATAAAGTAATTTTTGTAGTTTCGAGGGACTATGTCCAATTAATTACTAGAAAAAAATATTGAAATTATTATTATATATCAATTATTTAATCAATTTTAAGGGGTTTGTTATGACATTTGGTATAATGTCGAACACTCTGACCGGTTGGAAGTCGGCTCGCTTCCTTCCTACCCACCAGTAGAACGTCGAGTACCTGTAAAAACTCTCACACCGAGGGATTTTACGGTGAAGAGTCTCCGATGCTTAAGTCAGTCTCAAGCTCTACTCAATTTTCAAGAGCATAATGGATAAATCGTGATCAAATCATAAAGCTCACCCCTATATATTGCGAGAAAAAGTCAGAAGCCTTGTTTTAAATACCGTACCACACTGAATGATATTACCGGTAATACTAGATATCGGTGGTCTGACATACATGAAAATCACCTAAATACAATTGTTTTTCAAAATACCAGACGGTTTCAACAGGAAAATACATGTCGTTAAATACATGTAAAATGTCGGATATCGTTTTTTTTTTAAATATGCACAGACACAAATATATATATATATATATATATATATATATATATATATATATATATATTGCATAAATTGAAAAATCTACATTTAGTTTAATATTTTGACATTATTACTAGATTTTAATCAATTTTAGTATTTATTAAATATGATTTTATATATTATTTGTATCATAATGATAAATTCAACTAATATTTATTCCAACCAGAAAAAAAGTAAAACAGGTTGAACCGCATACCGTGGCTCGTCTAGTATGATAGTTGGTATTGTTAGATTTTAATTAATTTTATGTCCCACATCGGATGTGTACCAAAGATGTGTAGGATCTTTTTATTATAAATAGGTCCCTTGCCTTTTGGTTACAATTGCACCTTATTCTATTCTCTCCTATTTAGAAGGAAATCCTTAATTAAGGAAATCCTATTTTGTGTGTTATTTAACCCTAGTTGTATTTTGTTGGTGAGTTTAGTAAATTTAGCGTTGCGGTTGGCGGTGCCCAGAGACGTAAGCTATTTTCGCCGAACTCCGTTATCAATTTTTGTGTTCTTTTCTTTCCCGTCTTTTATTTATTTTTGTTGGCTTATTTTTCGTTTTGGAGTAGTGTTTGCCATATTTGATGGAGGGGTATTTTTGTTCGCTGCGCTTGTTGTGATACCCCAACAAGTGGTATTAGAGCCGAAAGTTCGTCCCAGGCTCATTTGGAGAGGCGAGCACTGCATTCGGTCCGAGATGTCCAAGGAGGTCAAGGGCGCATCATCCTCTGCATTCATTCCGGCAAGGACGGTGATGTCGAACGTCAGACTCCCGATGGAGATCTTTGACGGGACCGGTCATTTCGGCATGTGGCAAGGCGAGGTGCTGGATTGTTTATTTCAGCAAGGCGTCGACATTGCGATTGAAAAGGAGAAGCCAACAGGCGTTGAAGAGAAGGACTGGAAGAATATCAACCGCTTAGCATGTGGAACAACTCGTTCGTGTTTGTCGAGGGAGCAGAAATACGCGTTTAAGAATGAGAACTCTTCTCACACTTTGTGGAAGGTTTTGGAGGATAAATTTCTGAAGAAAAGCGGCCAGAATAAGCTCCTCATGAAGAAGCGATTGTTCCGTTTTGAATACCGACATGGCACATCGATGAATGATCACGTCACTGCATTCAATCAGTTAGTTGCAGATTTGTTGAATTTGGACGTCACATTCAACGATGAAGATTTGGCTCTAATGTTGTTATCATCACTTCCAGACGACTTCGAGCACTTAGAGACTACGCTGTTCCATGGGAAGGACGATGTAACTCTTGCAGTGGTCAGTTCTGCTTTGTATAGCTATGAGTTGAGAAAGAAGAACAAACAAGAGACGAAGAATGCAGCAGCAGAAGATGAAGCGTTAGTTGCAAGAGGTCGGTCGAAGAGCCAAAAGAAGAATGGACGAGGAAGATCACGTTCCAAAGCCAAGCTTGAAAAAAACGAGTGTGCTTTCTGCCATGAGAAGGGACACTGGAAGAAAGACTGTCCTAAGTTGAAGAAGAAGGGCAAATCTCCTCAAGATGCATATGTTGCTGAGGGTGGAAGTGAAGACTCAGAATTTTCACTTGTGGTTTCACCTTCATCATCTCATCCAGACGAATGGATTTTGGATTCATGATGCACCTACCATATGTCTCCCATAAGGGAGTGGTTCTTCAATTTTCAGGAGATCAATGGAGGGGTTGTCTATATGGGTAATGATAATGCTTGTAAGACAACTGGGGATAGGTTCAATCCGTTTGAAGAATCGCGATGGTTCCACCAGAGTCTTGACAGATGTTCCGTACGTGCCAAGTTTGAAGAAAAACCTCATCTCATTAGGAGCCTTGGAATCCAAAGGCTTGGTAGTGTCTTTACGAGATGGAGTTATGAAGGCTACATCCGGCTCGCTCGTGGTGATGAAAGGCATAAAGAGGAATAATTTGTATTACTATGAAGGTGATACGGTTGTTGGGACAGTAACAGTAGCAGTTTCCACCAACAAAGAGTCTGAAGCAGTCAAGTTGTGGCATATGCGTTTGGGACATGCTGGTGAAAAGTCCTTGCAAACATTGGCAAAACAAGGACTGTTAAAAGATGTAAAAGTGTGCAAACTAGACTTTTGTGAGCATTGTATTCTGGGAAAGCAGAAGAGAGTGAAGGTTGGAACGACTATCCATATTACCGAAAGTGTCTTGGATTATGTTCATTCGGACGTGTGGAGACCTTGTAATACCCCATCCTTAGGCGGAAGACGCTATTTTGTCACTTTCATCGATGAATTTTCCAGACGTGTTTGGGTGTACACTATGAAGACGAAGGATGAAGTGCTTGGTGTCAAATGAAGACACAAATTGAGAACCAGACTGGAAGGAAGATAAAGGTCCTACGTACGGACAATGGTGGAGAATATACAAGCGATCTCTTTTAAGAAGTTTGCCGTAAAAATGGCATTGTTAGGCACTGCACCGTTAGACGGGCACCACAACAAAATGGGGTGGCGGAGCGCATGAATCGAACATTGGTGGAGAAAGTTCGATGTATGTTGTCCAATGCTGGTTTGGGCAAGGAGTACTGGGCTGATGCTGTAACATACGCGCAACACCTCATAAGTCGTTTGCCGTCATCTGCAAAAGATGGTAAAACACCGTTGGAGGTATGGTCGGGGTAACCTGTTGCTGACTATGAGCATGCTTGGATACAAAATTATCTCAAAAAAATCCAAACATTTTTAACTCAACCACTTTTTTAACTCAACTTTAACTCAACACCACTATCATCAATATTATCAATATAATTAAATAATATCAAATCAATCATTCTTACACACCACATCACCTTAATTCACTATTCATCTTCTCACATAATTTTAACTAACCATCACTTCAAATCTCCTCTCTCTTACTTTACATCAAATCAACTTTAATAATTTAATTTTAAATATTATTTTAATATATCCACTAACAACTAACCATACCAACTTTTTTAAAACTAACCAAACCAAACAAAAAAATCCAAACAAAACCAAAATTTTTTATATCCAATCATCCTCTACATGTCTTTGGGTGTCCTATGTTCTATCATGTGAAGGATTCAAAGTTAGATCCAATAGCGAAAAAGGCTTTGTTCATAGGAATTACAATTGGCCTGAAGAGATATCGTCTTTTGTGTCTTGAGACGAACAAAACTGTGTTTAGCAGGGATGTTACATTTGATGAACAAACTATGATGAAGACGATGCAAACCCAACAGGTGGAGTTGACACCGAAGCAGGTGGAGGTAGATGCGATGATGAGTTAACCAGCTATGATCGACGAAACAATATCAAACGATTCGTTGGATGATGAAGTTCAGGCTCAAGAATCGTTAGATTTACCCATTGCATTGAGAAAGCCCAGACGAGAGATTCAACAACCTGTTCGATTGGCGGATATGGTGGCTTATGCACTTCCAATTGTCGATGATGACATACCTTTCACTTCTCAAGATGCAATTCGAAGTTTAGAAAATGAGAAGTGGAAATGGGCTATGGAGGAAGAAATGTTCTCTCTCCAGAAGAATCAAACTTGGAAGGTGACGCAACTACCAAAAGGCAAGAGGGCGATAGGATGCAAGTGGGTATTTGCAAAGAAAGATGGATTTCCTCATAAGAGTGATGTGTGATACAAGGCAAGGTTGGTGGCTAAAGGCTACGCTCAGAAGGAAGGAGTTGATTATAATAAAGTGTTTTCTCCAGTTGTTAAACACTATTCCATTAGAATTTTGTTGGCCTTAGCAGCACAGTTGGATTTAGAGCTAGCTCAACTTGACGTGTAGACGACGTTCTTACACAGAGATTTAGATGAGGAAATCTACATGACTCAGCCAGAAGGATTCAAAATTCTTGGAAAAGAGAATTGGGTCTGTAAGTTGAACAAATCGTTGTACGAACTGAAGCAATCTCCGAGGCAGTGGTACAAATGGTTTGATAAGTTTATGATTGGGCAGAAGTACAAGCGAAGCAGACATGATCATTGTGTGTATTTACGCAAGCTGCAATATGGATCTTTCATTTACTTACTCTTGTATGTGGATGACATGTTGGTTGCATCAAAGAGCCAAGTGGAGATTGATCAATTGAAGGCTCAGTTGTATCAAGAGTTTGAGATGAAGGACTTGGGGGAAGCAAAGAAGATTCTCGAGATGGAGATAAGTAGGGACAGCATGAGAGGCAAACTTTGTTTGACTCAGAAGCAATATCTGAATAAGGTACTACAGCGTTTCGACATAAAAGATGAGTCGAAGCAAGTAAGTACACCACTTGCCCCTCATTTGAAGTTAAGTGCCCAGTTATCGCCAAAATGTGATGAAGAACGAGAGTACATGGCTAGAGTCCCATATGCAAATGCAATTGGCAGTTTGATGTATGCGATGGTGTGTACAAGGCCCGACATTTCACAAGCAGTTGGTATTGTTAGCAGGTATATGCATGACCCTGGTAAAGGTCATTGGCAAGCTGTAAAATGGATTTTACGGTACACTCATAGTACTGGAGACGTTGGATTAGTTTATGAGCAGAATGAATTATGTCAATTTGTAGTTGGATATTGTGATTCTGACTACGCGAGTGATTTGGATAAGCGAAGATCAACGAGTGGATATTTTTTCACTTTTGCAAAAGCTCCAGTCAGTTGGAAGTCTACCTTACAGTCAACAGTTGCTTTGTCTACAACATAGGTAGAGTATATGGCAGTTACTGAAGCTGTGAAGGAGGCTATTTGGCTTCAAAGTTTGCTTGAAGACTTGGGAGTTGGTCAAAAGTACGTCTTAGTGCATTGTGACAGTCAGAACGCTATTCACTTAGCGAAAAATCAAGTATTTCATGCAAGAACGAAGCATATTGATGTTCGCTATCACTTTGTGCGGGAGATTCTAGAAGATGAACCGTTGTGTTGAAGAAGATCAAGACGACGGAGAATCCTGCGGATATGATGACCAAGATAGTGACAACAGTCAAGTTTGAACATTGTTTAGACTTGACCAACATTCTGCATATTTGAGTTGGCGCCGAGAGGCGCATTTGGAGGCACCGCTAGCAGTTGAGTTGGGAGTGGGAGCAAAATTAGTCAAGGTGGAGAATTGTTAGATTTTGATTAATTTTATGTCCCACATCGGATGTGTACCAAAGATATATAGGATCTTTATAGTATAAATAGGTCCCTTGCTTTTGGGTTACAATTGTACCTTATTCTATTCTCTCATATTTAGAAGGAAATCCTTAATTAGGGAAATTCTATTTTGTGGGTTATTTAACCCTAGTTGTATTTTGTTGGTGAGTTTAGTAAATTTAGCGTTGAGGTTGGCGGTGCCCAGAGACGTAGGCTATTTTCGCCGAACTCCGTTATCAATTTTTGTGTTCTTTTCTTTCCCGTCTTTTATTTATTTGTGTTGGCTTATTTTTCGTTTTGAAGTAGTGTTTGCTATATTTGTTGGAGGGATATTTTTGTTCGATGCGCTTGTTGTGATAGCCCAACAGGTATAGTATATAAAACATAAAGTCTTATAAGTGTTAAAATTATATTGTATTTTTTTTAAGTTATTTATTATAAAATCAACAAATCTTTTTTTTGTTATCTCATTAAACAATCGTTTTTGTTTAAAAAAATAAGCTAATTGGTTTAATTATGTAGTCAAAACCTCTTAAAATCTCATAAATAATTTCTATAATAATTATTTTAAAGATTTTTTCGCCTAATTAATTGGTAATGATCTCTCAAAATTATAAAAATTACATTATTAATTCCATTTTATGAAATCAATATAGCGACTCATATGTGGTGAAATAGTGTATACTGTTTAGATTTAATAATAATCAAAATTTCAAAATGTGATACAATTATCCAATTAATTATAATTTTAATATTATATGTATGTATAGATCTCATAACATTTTACTTCTTCTAATCTATATGCAGGGGCGGAGCCAGGATTCAATATCTACCCGGGCTAAATTTTTTTTTTTTTATGAAAACCCACATGCCTCATAAATAAATTGTAAGAGTAAACACTAAATAAAAATTAAATTACTTAATAAACTTTACGAAAATGTTACGGTCCCGTTACGGAACCATTCTGTCGGGGTTTGTAACCGTTAGATCATCATCTAACCGTCGGAGATAGGTGATCTAACGGTTAAAAACAATGACGAAATAGTTCCGTAAAAAGACCGTAGCATCTTCCTAAACTTTAAGTGTGGCCAACTAAACACTAAATTAGTCCAAAATAAGAAATAAATTACTCAACAGACATTCAATTTAATTATATCTAATGTGAAGTATATAAATTGAGAAATGAACAAAATAAACAAAATTTAGTATATAACTAATAAACAAAAGAACTTTCAAACATAAAAGAAATATATAATTAGAATATTAATTATTGTACAAAATTATATATAAAAGGTGAACTAAGTGCAAAATATAAACTAATGGAAAACAAACATAAATTTATTATAAGGAGACTCAATTTTTATCTTTTAATAAATACCCATAATAAATAACTTGGACTTTATGTATGAATAAAGGCCTACTCCTCTGATAAAAAATTAGTTTGTTATGAAGCACATAACCATTTAAGGGAAACTGGACAAAAAAATATAGTAAGACATGTTAGTTTCTCATATGCCACCGGGCTAAATTTTGTTTTTCTAAAAAGCAAGATTATTATATACTATTCTCCTATTAAATGATGGTTGAGGGGCACCAGGGCTACAGCCCAGGCACACATGTTAGTGCCTCCGCCCCTGTCTATATGTGCATGTGTACACTAGTATTATCTTGTTACTTGTTACTTATTAGTCACTACCATTTTAATATTAGTAATCAGTAATTATTATGTGATGCGTGTAAATTATAAATCACAAATAGTATTGTGTGTGTGTGTGTATAAATTAAATAATTATTAGAGCTATAATAAACCGGTCAATATGTATTTGCAGTTTTTCAATTAAATAATATATCAGTAAAGTTAAATGAGCACAAAATAAAAGGCTTTCTCACACCAACATAGGTTGACTCAAGTGGTAAGCAGTTTGATGTCGCTTAAGCAAGGTCTCGAGTTTGAGTCTTTGTGGGATGCAGAAAACCTTTTTTTGGGAGACTCATCCACCACTGTCAGGTGTGCGACTCGGATCGACCAACGGATTAATTGGGGCATAGCTTCAGATATACCGTGGCTGGCTTAAAAAAAAAAAAAAAGGCTTTCTCACTCTCAGTGGCTACTGCTGCTGGTAATTACCTTACATATGAATGTGAATCCTGGCTTTTTTCCAATTTTCAACCTTTTGCCTTTTCTTCTACGCGTCATATTCTCCATAGTCATAGATATATATATATAATATATATTTTTCTTTTTAAATCTGAAGGTCTATGACTATATGCAGGAAATATTTCAAAGATTAAATCCTCCTGACATTACGAATTTCCGGTGTATATATTAGGTCTCGGATTTTTGAACCGGGAACCGGAAAATCGGTCCGGACCAAACCGAAATAAGCCGGTTCGGTCCGGTTATTCATGTGAGTGGCAAGTTTTTTCTGGTTCGGTTTTTATCTTTCTTTTTCGGTTCCGGTTTTCGGTTTTCACTTCACAATAACTAAAAAAACCGAGGAATCGGTTGTTTATATATTATTATTAAACCTATACTTAGTTGTCTACTATGGTAATAAAACTAACCTTAGTTTAGTTTATTTTGTGCAAATAATTAGTGATAAAACCGTGGGAAAACATGAATGACTTCCGTTTCGGTCCCTCTTGACTAATGGTCGGCTTGTGGTCGACTGCCTTCTTCTTCACATTCTGACTGGACTTGAAATTAACTTTAGTTCATTCATTTGTAATTTTGTTTTTCCTCTCTCAAAATCGAAGCCCTTTTTGTAATTGATAGCATATATGGCTTACATGCAAACACACGTGCAAACACTACATCACAAGAAGACAATATTCTTTTGCATTGCCATGTCACCTTAAAGATCAATGCATGGTCAATGACAGTCAAACAAAGATTCTGACATGTCACCATGCACAAGCAAGAGGAAAAGAAGAAAGCAAAACAATATAGATGATGAAGATTGAATGAGGACCGTAGGATACAAATTATATTGTCATATAAATAGCTTACCATATTTGGAAGAACAATGAGCCATATAAAGTTAATGTGCAGTTTTTTCATGAAAATGTTGAGTTCACAGTTTTATCATGCTTCTTCTTCTCGGTTTGTTAAAATCACAGATCTGGTTTTGTTGTTTCTCAACATGGTATCAAGAGTATTTATCAACATTGGGACCTCTTTCTTATCCACTTTCCATCAGATCAACCTTTTTTTTTTTTTACGAAAAAAACCTGCATGAACCATTATTAGATCTCAGATCTACAGACCCACAGCTTCAAACACACCATGTCTTCGCAAACCTCAACAGACAACATACTTCAACCAACAGCTCCCACCACACCCTCGTTTATTCAACCCCAACATCAATTCATCTCAATCAAACTCACAGATTCAAACTATCTTCTCTGGAAACAACAAACTCACAGTGCAATCATTGGCTATGGGTTAGAGAACTTTATTGATGCTGAATATGAACCACCACAAAAGTTCATCTCTGATGAGAACACATCTCAGCTTCTTCTCAACCCTGCCTATGCAGCATGGCTCAGGCAAGGTCAGCTACTCCTATCATGGCACTTGTCCTCATTGACTGAAAATCATCTCATTATGATGGAAAGTAAGAATACATCTAAAGATGTGTGGCTGTCCGTGGAAGCAAACTTCTCTCGCTTCTCAAAGGCAAGATTGATGCATCATAAGCTACAACTTCAAACCCTTAAAAAGGGTTCCAGCACCATGAGAGAGTTTCTAGGGAAAATTAAAGAATGTTGTGATGCTCTTGGCATAGCATGTGAACCTGTCACTGACCAAAATCAAATCCTATACATTCTTGCTGGCCTTGGCACAAAATACAACCCTGCAGTGGTGGCTGTTACCTCTAGAGTGGAGCCTTACACACTCAATGAGGTCTATACTATGCTCTTAAGTCTAGAATCAAGACTTGAGGTTGGAGTTCAAAGCATAGTAAATCCTGATGGATCTCTGCCCAGTGTCAACCTCACATCTAGCACATCCATCAATCAGAAAACCAACTCAAACTTTTCTATACCTACACAAACCCAAAGGGTTCTTTCTCTCAGAGGGGTAGAGGCCGGTCAAACAACTACAGAGGCAGGGGTGGCCGTGGCTACAGGAACAACAAGAACAGGCCTTCTTACCAACTATGTGGCCTCAACAATCATTCAGCTGAGAGGTGCTATCATAGGTATGATTCTACATATCCAGCCCCCACCACCATGCAAGCCACAGCTCAAAACTAAGGACAACATCCACCTCTTCAGTCACTGCCTTCACACCTCAATGCTTTAGTCACATCACCAGGCCACAGTCAAGACTCCATGTGGTTTGCAGACTCAGGTGCCTCAAACTATGTCACAAATGAACTCTCCAACCTCAACCTGTCTTCAGAATATCAAGGCTCTAATAGGCTCCATGTTGGTAATGGCTCAGGTTTGTCTATATCATATATTGGCAATTCTACATTCTCTAACCCCTCTCACTCCTCTAGACAATTTCTCCTCATAAATTTACTTCATGTTCCACATATCACCAACAACTTACTAAGTGTTTCCCAATTTGCTCATGACAACTCAGTTTATTTTGAATTCTTTCCCACTCTTTGCTTTGTAAAGGATCAGGACACTCACCAAGTACTTCTTCAAGGTTTACTTAAAGGGGGACTTTACAGCTTTGACATCAACTGCACCTCTCCTGCTTCAAACCAGCCAAAGAAGTCTTACCACTTTCCTTTACTTTCTGCAAATGTTGCAACTTTTGATAAGCAAAATCTAGCCTTGTGGCACTCTAGACTAGGACATACTGCACTTGATGTTGTTTCTAAACTAATGAGATCATGTAACCTCTCAGTTTTTATGAATGATAAGTTTATTTGCTGCTCTTGTCAACAAGCTAAAAACCACTCTCTCTCTTATTCTTTGTCTGATGCTACTTACTCTCACCCCCTTGACCTTGTTCACACTAATGTCTAGGGTCCATCACCCATTAAATCCATCAATGGCTCTCAATATTATGTGTGCTTTGTTGATCACTACACCAAATTCACATGGATTTATTTTCTTAAACTTAAATCAGAAGTTAAAAGAAGCTTTCCTTCACTTCAAGAACCTTGCTGAGAATCAACTAAACCATAAAATCAAAGCCATCCAAAGTGACTGGGGTGGAGAATTTAGAGCACTTACCTCTATCTTCACTGATTCTGGCATCAACCACAAACTCTCTTGTCCATACACTCCAGCTCAAAATGGAGTTGCAGAGAGAAGACATAGAAAAATTGTTGAAATGGGATTAGCTCTCCTGTATCACTCCTATGTTCCTCTCTCATATTGGGATGATGCTTTTAGTGCAGCCATATACACCCTCAATAGACTACCTGTGAAATCTCCTCACCCTTAGAGAACCTCTATGGCCATAAACCAAACTACAACACCTTCAAAGTATTTGGTTGTCTGTGTTACCCCAACCTCAGACCATACAACAAGCACAAACTCCAACCAAGATCCTTACCCTCCACCTTTCTTGGCTACAGCTCCAAACATAAAGGTTTTAAAGTCCTATTACCCTCAGGCAAAGTAATTGTCACAAGAGATGTCATCTTTGATGAAACCCAATTTTCCTTCTCTGAAAACAAAACACCACACTCTGAGCATGCAAGTCTCCCATCTTTCTTCCACCAACCACCTCTTATTGTCCACATACCTACTGTTCCCTCAAACACTAACCAACCCTCATCACCACCTTCCTCTCCACATCCAACTCACACTTCTAACACTCACTCACCTACCACTACTCAAACTCACCACAGTTCCTCAACCTCATCTAAACACACCACTCATTCAAACTCTACCATACCCCTCTATGTTTAATTGCCAATTGTGAGAGACAACTTTAAATCCACTACTGTGCCTACTAATGATCATCCACATGTGCATCCCATGATTACCAGGTCTAAGACATGTTCCTTGAAGCCTAGGGTCTTTACTGCTCAATCACATGACCTAACACCACCATCCTACAAGGAAGCTCTCTCTCACACAGACTGTAGGACATCTATGCAATCAGAATATAAAGCTCTTCTTCACAACAACACACGGTCTCTTGTTCCTCCACCAGCTAACAAATCCATCATTGGCTGCAAATGGTTGTTTAAAGTCAAAAGTCATGCAGATGGCACCATAGCTAGGCATAAAGCTAGGCTAGTAGCCAAAGGCTATAGCCAAGCAACAGACAATGACTTCTATGAAACCTTCAACCCTGTGGTTAAACCATCAACAATTAGAGCAGTGTTGTCCCTAGCACTCTCCCATGGCTGGTACATCAAACACCTAGATTTCAACAATGCCTTCTTGCATGGAGACATCAGTGAAGAGATTTATATGACACAACCTCCTGGCTTTGAGGACCCTCATCAACCTCACCTTGTTTGCAAACTCCACAAATCCCTTTATGGCCTAAAACATGCACCAAGGGCTTGGTTTAACAAACTGAAGCACTCTCTTCTCACCCTTGGTTTTACAAATTCCAAATCAGATTGTCTCTTTATACCAAGAAAACACCTACTTCTTGCATATGGCTTCTTGTCTATGTAGATGATATACTCGTCACTGGGTCTAAAGTTGCAGCCATCTCCACAGTCATTGGTACTCTCAGAGAACAGTTCTCCCTCAAGGACTTGGGTCTCATACACCACTTCCTTGGCATTGAAATCAATCACACTACATCAGGACTTTCTCTCTCTCTCTCTCTCTCTCTCTCTCTCTCTCTCCCTCTCAGTCTAAGTATATTCATGACATACTCACGAAGACAAAGATGGCTGATGCTAAACCTCTCCCCACACCTATGGTCTCATCTTCTTCTCTCACCAAAAGCCATGGCAGCGCAATGAAAGATCCTACACTTTATAAGAGTGTGGTTGGTTCACTTCAATATGCTTCTATTACAAGACATGTCATCTCCGATAGTGTTAACAAAGTGAGCCAATTCATGCAATGCCCCATGGACACCCACTGGAAAGCAGTAAATAGGATTTTAAGATATCTTGCTGGTACCATGTCCTATAGACTGAACTTCACCAAAAACACAAGCTCTCACCTCACAACATTCTCAGACTCTGACTGGGCCAATGACTTGGATGATAGGAGATCCACATCTGGCATTTGTGTATACCTTGGCAAAAACCCAATCACATGGTGTTCTAGATCAAGCACAGAGGCTGAATATAGGAGCCTTGCACAAGCTTCTGCTGAGTTGATATGGATTACCTCCCTTTTGAGGGAACTCTCAGTCACTTGCACCCAAGTGCCAACTGTGTGGGTTGACAACCTCAGCACCATCTCACTATCTTCTAATCATGTTCTTCATGCCAGGACCAAGCACATCGAGATCGATATTCACTTTGTCAGGGATCAGATAGCTAAGGGCACAATAAAAGTTCATCATGTTCCCTCTGTTCACCAGGTTGGTGATATCTTCACCAAACCACTGTCTCTACAAGCCTTTGCTCGGTTTAGGAATCTTCTACAAGTCCTTCCTATCACCTCCATTGGCTTGAGAGGGGATGATAGCATATATGGGTTACATGAAAACACATATGCAAACACTACATCACAAGAAGACAATATTCTCTTGCCATGTCACCTTAAAGATCAATGCATGGTCAATGACAGTCAAACAAAGATTCTGACATGTCACCATGAATAAGCAAGAAAAAAAAGAAGAAAGCAAAACAATATAGATGATGAAGATTGAATGAGGACCGTAGGATACAAATCATATTGTCATATAAATAGCTTACCATATTTGGAACCCTAGAACAATGAGCCATGTAAAGTTAATTTCCTATTTTTTCATGAAAATGTGAGTTCACAATTTTATCATGCTTCTTCTTCTCGGTTTTGTTAAAATCACAGATCTAGTTTTGTAGTTTCTCAACATGGTATCAAGAGCATTAATCAACATTGGGACCTCTTTCTTATCCACTTTCCATCGATCAACCTTTTTTTAAAAAAGAAAAACCTGCACGAACCATTATTAGATCTCAGATCTACAGACCCACAGCTTCAAACACACTATGTCTTCTCAAACCTCAGCAGACAGCACACCTCAACCAACAGCTCCCACCACACCCTCTTTTATTCAACCCCAACATCAACTCATCTCAATCAAACTCACAGATTCAAACTATCTTCTCTAGAAACAACAATCTCACAGTGCAAACATTGGCTAAGGGTTAGAGAACTTTATTGATGTTGAATATGAACCACCACAAAAGTTCATCTCTGATGAGAACACATCTCAACTTCTTCTCAACCCTGCCTATGCAGCATGGCTCAGGCAGCTCAGCTACTCCTATCATGGCTCTTGTCTTCATTGAGTGAAAATCTCCTCATTAGGATGGCAAGTAAGAATACATCTAAAGATGTGTGGCTGTCCTAGGAAGCAAACTTCTCTGGCCTCTCAAAGGCAAGATTGATGCATTATAAGCTACAACTTCAAACCCTTAAAAAAGGTTCCAGCACCATGAGAGAGTTTCTAGGGAAAGTTAAAGCATGTTGTGATGCTCTTGGCATAGCAGGTGAACCTGTCACTGACCAAAATCAAATCCTATACATTCTTGCTGGCCTTGGCACAAAATACAACCCTGTAGTGGTGGTTGTTACCTTTAGAGTAGAGCCTTACACACTCAATGATGTCTATGCTATGCTCTTAAGTCTAGAATCAAGACTTGAGGTTGGATAGCAAAAAGGTTTGTGTGTTAGATATGCCATCAAGGTGGAATTCTACCTTCATAATACTGGAAAAACAACATATGATTTGAAGTTGGCATTTGATAGACTAGCAGAGGAGGACAATAAATATAAGGGGTACATTGATGAAGATGAAGATGATGAAAATGATGAGGATGATGTGACTGATTAGATATTTGGTACTGAGGGGACAGAGGGTGAAAAAAGGAAAAGAAAAAATAGAGGGAAAAAGAGAGTTGGGCCACCAAATGAGGAAGACTGTATAGGGCTGAGGTTTTTATTAAGTTCTTGAAAGTATTCTTTGATATCACTCTTAATGTTAGTTGCACTAACACACCAACTGCATGTTAGTGTTATATACTGAAAGCTTGGATTTAGATGATATTACACTTTTACCCTTTATGAATGAGAAACATGTTAGTTTAAACAAGTTCTACATTATGTTGTTTTGCATTAGATAGTGTGGGTCGTCATCGGGCGAACCGAAGATCATGCTATTAGTTACTCGCGAAACAAGAATAAGTGGTTCACAACCCAGATAGACAT